GTGAATAACCTTTATAGATGATCCCAAACCTTTTTTGCTATCTCATACTTCACCAACTGCGTGCCTATCGAATGCTCAATAGAATTGTTGATCCAAGCAATGATCTTTGCATTATTTGCTTCCCATGTATCTATCAAAAAAGCATCCCCCTCCTCAACATTCTTAGGTATTATTTAAGTTCCACTAACATACCCCCACATCTTCTTACTCTTAATAAAATTTCTCATTATATAGCTCCAATACGAATAGTTCTTCCCATCCAACCTCACACTTACAGATTGAAGCGAATCATCTTTTTCAGTAGCCATAATCAACAATCACAAAGAACTAGAATGCAAAAGCAGCGGAAAACAAAATACCAAATTACAGAAACTGAATAGAGATTGTAGAAACTAAACAAATATCTTTTCAGAATTATATGATTACTCCAAAATACAAAACAAATTTGCGGAAACTGAACGCAAATACCATATTGCAAAAGCTGAAGGGAAGATGAAATACCAAAATAATTGCAGAAACTGACAAAATACCAAATTTTGCAGAAGCAGAAGATAAAATCTCACTCCAAAAAATTTGGATCCGCGAAAGATAAAACACCAAGTTAGATCCGCAAAGCTGTGTTCGGGATTAAGCTTCGTTTTATAAAACCAGCTCTGATACTATGTTAAAATAATTAAGATAAAAAACAAAAAGGAGGCTAAAATTCTGAATAATCTGTATATTATGAATGCTTAACCTTAACCTAAATACAAATAAAGTATATATAGATTAAACTGAAAGTACTATTCTACCCTTAATAAATAAGACTACATAAATATTATTTAACAATATTAAAGATAAATAAATGGATGATGCGTGGCATGCATTATTTGTATTGTTTTTCTTATCTTATATGTTAGTATAAGAGTATCTCCATAGTACTCTTAGGAGTTATTCTTTTATTTTTTATTCATTTATTGCTTTATCAGAGGAGTCATATGTAAGTTAACAACATTTACATGTAATATCATTAGATATTCAACATGCTTTTAAATATAATTTTATTATTATTTACAAATATTATTTTTACTTAATTGATATCATATCTATTTTCTATGTTTGAATTTTAGATGCTTTTAGATGATGAACAAATCAGTCAAGTTGAGTTGCGGGAAAGACATTATTATTTTAAAACAAGTGAATTCGGGGTAGATCGACTCAATTTCTTATAGGCTCAACGAGTGTGAATGATGGTTTCATGCTCATTTTCATCATAATAAATATGAATGAGTTTGAGCCACATAAATCATTTATTTATCTTTTGAGTTTATTGTAAGAAATGAGGGTTCACCTTTTTTTGTACCTGTCCAAACTCATCTCTTTTTAGATTTTATCTTAAAATTAAATACACATATAGTTTAGAAAATAATATAAAATACAATTTACAACATGGTATTTAAAATAAATACATAGTAGCATATCATAAATATGATATTTTAAGATAATTTTTATCTTCCGTTCTTTAATATAACCATCATCTCATCTAAAAATCAATATTTACTTTAAAAATTAGAAGATAACTTCTTTTATCTTCGTTCACTTCTATGTTTTTTTATTCACCTAAATATCCTTATGACAATCATTAAAAGAATAAGTTTTTTTTTCCTTCAAAAAATCTATTGTATTATGTAAAACAATGTTATCTTTCTTTTTATGCAAACTGATTTTACTTGTATTATTTGTGGCAATGGAGAAAAAGATTGGATTCACTTGTTTTTTTTTATTATAGTTTCACTTGTTTTTAATTGTGATTCTTGAATACATATTATATGATATAGAAAAGAAAAATGAATTTTGTTAGATATTTGATCTAGGATTTCGATACACATCAATCAATTAAGATTTTCTTTACGGGGGTTTGGAGGAAGATAATTACAAAAAGGGGCCAGAAGGATTCTTAGTAAAGAGAAATGAGAATGTAGTTTGCAAACTAAAAGAAACCTTGTATGACTTGAAACAAGCTAAGAAGTTTGATAATTTTATGCGCAACAATGGATCCATAAGATTGCAGGTAAATCATTATTGTTATGTGAAATGTATTGAAAACTCTTACATCATTCTATTATTGTATGTATATGATATGTTTGTTGTAGGATCTAGCATCACGAAATAAATAAATTGAAAAGCAATTATTAGAACAATTTAAAATAAAAGATTTGAGAGTTGTAAAATAAATTCATAGCATAAGAATCACCAGGGATATATCTAATGGCACATGAAGATTATATGAAAAAAGTGCTCCATATATTCAACACGGATAGAGCAAAGCTAGTAAGCACTCTTTTGGCTAGTTATTTCAGACTAATTAAGATACATTCACCAAAGATTAAAAAGAAGAAGAAGAAGAGAACTAGATAAGTAAAGTTCCTTATACATTAACAATCGAAAGTCTTATGCATGTTATTGTTCGTACATGAGCAAACACTACACCTATAGCGAAAGCTGTAAATAGATACAAGAGTTATCCAACCAAATAGTATAAAGAAGAAATCAAATGGATTTTAAGACATCTAAATTGTTCTTTAGATATTTCATTTTGTTTTAAAAGGTCAAACTAAAATCTTCAAAGTTATATGAATGTTGATTTAGCTAATGATCTTAACAGCAAAAAAAGTACCATATATTTCATATGCACTGTGTGTAATACAAATGTGCAGTGAGCTTCAAGACTACAAAAAATTGTTTGCTCTCTGTTACATAGGTTAAATGTATAGTTATAACTGAAGCTACAAAGGAGATGATATGGTTATAAAATTTCTTGAAAGAACTAGGCAAGGAAAATGAGAAGGGTATCTTTACAACAACATTTAGAATGCAATAACTCTCGTAAAAAATACAATATTTTTTTCTAAAACTAAGCATATCCAGATCATATATCATTTTATCTGACATCTACTTGATCATGATCAAATTGATACTAAAGAAGATACATGAAAGTAAGAATCTAGTTAGTTAACACGTTACCTAAAAGAATTACATTTGATAAACTAAAGTTGTGTAAAATTTGAGTAGGTTCATTTATCTTCAAATGAGAGATTGATATGAATTGAGACAATTTAGGCACCATATCATCTGCAAATCAAGCTAGAAATAAATGGATTGATAGGAGTGAACCATATTTGATACCAAACTAGCAAAAATGCCTGGTGTTGTTGGGCATAATTTATCTATGTTTGATGGTGATTCTATGGCAGAAGTTATTCAATATCGGAGTGTAGTAGGGGCACTTTAATATCTTACCGTAACCAGGCCTGCCATAGCTTTTGCTGTTAACAAGGCCTGCCAATTCATGCAACAGCCAACCTCTGCTCACTAGCTATTTGTCAAAAGGATTCTTCGATATCTAAAAGGAACTATGTACGATGGGTTATTGTTAAGCCCTTCCAGCCACTTGACACTAGAATGATTCACTGATGCAGACTGGGGTGGTCAACTTGATGATAGGCACAGTACCCATGGGTATCTGATTTATTTAGAGGGGAACTTAGTCTCTTGGTCCTCCTCCAAACAAAAGGTTGTATCTCGCAGCAGTGTAGAATTAGAGTATCGTGGCCTTGCTTTAGCTATTGCTGAAATGGTTTGGATGCAAGCCTTGCTGCAAAAACTCTGTGTATCCATACCTGCAATTCCTCTACTCTGGTATGATAATATCAGTGGTTATCGTATGGCAAAGAATCCTATGTTTCATGCTAGAATGAAACACATAAAAAGTGATCTTCACTTCTTTCGTGATTAAGTTACCAGAGGAAAGATACAACCGCATTTTATTCCTGTTGAAGAGCAGCCCGTTGATTTATTGACTAAGCATCTCACAAGTTCAAGGTTCTTGTCCCTCAAAACACAGCTTTGTATAGTTCCTAGACCCTTTCACTTGAGGGAGATGATAAGCCAAGAATAGAAGCCTCTGTCACGTGACATTGCCCAACTGTGATATTGTTAGGATTCTGTTATATTATTATAACTGAATAGCAATTAGAGCAAGATAATTATAACTGCTTTACAGTTATACCAACTGTGACTGGTTGTATATATATAGATAGTTCACTCCTCTAGCCATAAATAACAAGAGAGAAAAGAGAATAAAAATTTACTCTCTCAAAGTTTATCTTTTTTGCCCAACTATTTATTGATTTCTTATATTTTTTTTATAGGGAAAAACAATTAAAAAATACAGGGGATCACACCCACTCAACTTCACTCTCTTCTTTCATTACTGCAAAAGACAACAAAACTGCAGCCGTTCTCTCTTTCTCTCTTCTCATGTTTTTCTATCTTCTTCTACTTTGCACATTTTATGTTGCTCTCTAGGTACCTATTCTTAGACAAGAATGGTGTCACCAAGTCCAGCTCATCTTGAGCAATGGTAGTTGCCAATCTTACCAAGACATTTGATAATTTTCACATGGGCTGCTGAGGTGCTTTGCACATTTTATGCTGCTCTTTTGGTTTCTGTTTTCAGACAAGAATGGTGCCACCAAGTCCAGCTCTTCTTCGCAATCTTACCAAGACATTTGGTATTTTTCACATGGGCTGCTGAGGTGAAACCCCGTGCATGCAGATATTCAATTATTATAACGGCAAATTAATGCTACAGCATGTATATCTCCCTCCATTATAAATTGAAGTCTCAAGCCAAGGTATCATTCAACATACAAGCATTAACAACTTCAGAAGAGAAAATCAGCCATAGATCAAGAGTAAGACGGAGATCATGGACAGCAAGAAGGTCACCCTGCTGCTGGTGGTTGCGTTGGTTTTTGTCGCAGCCATTACCCCGTCCACCCTGGCTATGCGGCAATTTCCAAAGCTCATGACTTCAAACATATTGCTGCAAGATGAAAGCAAGCTTGGTTGTATCCCTAATGGAGGCTGGTGCTTTATCGATCCAATGAATTGTTGCGGAAACTGTGGATGCCTGTATCCAATAGGGATCTGCTTAGGATCAGATTGCTAAAATTAACCAGTCAGCATGGCAGCTTTGGGTTGCTGAATAATTTTCGTCTAATATTATGATGAATAAGGTTTCTTATGTCTGTGTCGTCGTTTTGGAAGTTATGGCTTGCAGCACAGAGTTGTGTCATGCATGCTTCTATTTCTCTTTTCATTTTGATGTCGTAGTTGTGAAGGTGGGGACGAAGGTTGGAAGAATAAAGATAATAAGGGCCCATTTGTTTCCGTGGTTGTCCTGTTGCGCTTGCAGAAACCATCAATTTAGTGTATTTTCAATGCAACCACACTGTAAGCTCATCCTAGCTTGTTAAATTTTATGTTTGTGCTTTTCATAATGTGATGAGGTTCCCGGGAAGTAAGGATTTTCATGAAGTGTTCTATTTTCTTTTTAGAATGAAATTATCTTAGTGAAGGGTCAATGATTTCCATTGGGGATTCAAAATAACTCTAAACTTGACTACATGGGGGTAAAATGTGAAAATGGAAAGGCACTTCAGAAAAATTGAAATAACCTTAATTAAATAATTGTTGAAATACAAAAGATTTATTAATTATATCATGTCATTTTCGATAATTAATGGGTATGGAATTCATCAAAAAGACTTCGACTTTATGATGGTCACTGCAATATTCCTACAATTTCATGTCCCTTAGAAATTATATTAAGGATAAATAAATAGATGATGCTTGGCATGCATTATTTGTATTGTTTTTCTTATCTTATATGTTAGTATAAGAGTATCTCCATAGTACTCTCGTGAGTTATTCTTTCATTTTTTATTCATCTATTGCTTTATCAGAGGAGTCACATGTAAGTTAACAACATTTACGTGTAATATCATTAGATATTCAACATGCTTTTAAATATAATTTTATTATTATTTACAAATATTATTTTTATTTAATTGATATCATATCTATTTTCTATATTTGAATTTTAGATACTTTTAGATGATGAACAAATCAGTCAAGTTGAGTTATGAGAAAGACATTATTATTTTAAAACAAGTGAATTCGGGGTAGATCGACTCAATTTCTTATAGGCTCAACGAGTGTGAATGATGGTTTCATGCTCATTTTCATCATAATAAATATGAATGAGTTTGAGCCACATAAATCATTTATTTATCTTTTGGGTTTATTGTAAGAAATGAGGGTTCACCTTTTTTGTACCCGTCCAAACTCATTTCATTTTAGATTTTATCTTAAAATTAAATACACATATAGTTTAGACAATAATATAAAATTAATCTTTCATAGGCTCAACAAGTGTGAATGATGGTTCGCGTACTCATTTTCATCATAATAAATAGGAATGAGTTTGAGCCCAATAAATCATTTTTTTAATCTTTTGGATTTATTGTAAAAATTAAGAATTGACCTTTTTTTTACCCGTCTAAAATCACCTCATTTTAGATTCGATTAGTTCACATCTTGATATTAAATACATATATAGCATAAAAAATAACATAAAATACAATTTACAATATAATTTTTAAAATAAACACATAGTAGCTTATCATAAATAAGATACTTTAAGATGATTTTTATCTTTCTTTCTTTAGTATGACCATAATTTCATCTAAAAATCAATATTTACTTTTAAAATTAGATGGTAACATCTTTTATCTTTGTTTACTTCAGTGTCTTTTTATTCACCTATATATCCCTTTGACAGTTACCAAAAAAATAAGTTTTGTTTTTAGGAAAAAATCTATTGTATTATGTAAAACAAGGTTATCTTTCTTTTTATGCAAACTGATTTGACTTGTATTATTTGTGGCAATGGAGAAAAAGATTGGATTCACTTGTTTTTTTTATTATAGTTTCACTTGTTTTTAATTGTGATCCTTGAATACATATTATATGATATAGAAAAAAAAATGAATTTTGTTAGATATTTGATCTAAGATTTTGATACACATCAATCAATTAACATTTTCTTTATAGGGATTTGGAGGGAGATAATTACATGAAGTGACCAGAAGGATTCTTAGTAAAGAGAAATGAGAATCTAGTTTGCAACTAAAAGAGAGCTTGTATGACTTAAAACATGCTCCTAGACAAGAAGTTTGATGATTTTATGCGCATTCATGGATCCATAAAATTATAGGTAGATCATTATTGTTATGTCAAATATTTTGAAAACTCTTACATTATTATACTATTATATATAGATGATATTTTTTTTTTAAGGATCTAGCATTGAGGGAATAAATAAATTAAAAAAAATTATTAGAACAATTTAAAATAAAGGAGTTGGGAGTTGTAAAATAAATTCCTAGCATAAGAATCACTAGGGATATATCTAATGGCACATGAAGATTATATGAAAAAAGTGCTCCACATATTCAATACGGATATAGCAAAGCTAGTAGGCACTCTTTTGGCTAGTTGTTTCAGGCTAATTAAGAAACATTCACCTAAGATGGAAAAAAAGAAAAAAGAAGAGAGAGAGAACTATTTAAGTAAAGTTCCTTGTACATCAACAATCAAAAGTCTTATGCATGTTATTGTTGGTACATGAGCAGGCACTATACCTATTGAGAAAGTTGTAAGCAGATACAAGAGTTATCCAAGCAAATAGTATTGAGAAGAAATCAAATGGATTTTAAGATATCTGAATTGTTCTTCAGATATTTTATTTTGTTTTAAGAGGTCAAACTAAAGTCTTCAAAGTTATATGAATGTTGATTTAGCTAATGATCTTAACAGTAGAAAAGGTACTACAGGTTTCATATGTATTGTGCTAAATACAAATATATAGCGGGTTTCAAGACTGTAAAAGATTGTTTGCTCTCTATTGTAGAGGCTGTATAACTATAACTGAAGCTACAAAGAAGATGGTATGGTTATAGATGTTGCACTTCCCACGCGGTGTAGATTGATGATTTTTTTGTTCTCTTTGATTGATTGCTTTGTTATGTTTTGTTGGAGTTGCAATCTAATATTTAATTAAAAGCTATTAGAAAATCCGAGTATACTAATTTTGTTAGAGATTCATGAGTAAAAAACTAATTATAGTTAGAAAAAATATTAACATTCCTAACGTACCCTGAAATAAGTACCCTGAAATAAGTTGTTTTGCAATTTGATTTAATTTAAAAATTTAAAATATTAATTAAATTTTAAAATTTTAATAAATCAGTTATAATATATATATAAAAACATGTTATGTTTTCATAAAAATATAACATAATTTTATTTTTGAGATATTTAACCATATTCAAATTAAACAATTAATTCTTTTTATCTTTTTTTTTTATTTTCATAATTCAATAACATAAATAAAAATACAATCAGATACACATACATATATCTCTTTTTATTATGCTTACTTACCCATAATTACATATTTATAACATAACAAAAAAAATCAAAAAATCAAATATAATAGTATCCAAATATACATAGCAACATTTAAAAATTACAAAAATAGCTTCGGGGACAATGCTGGAGAATTCTTGGCATATTTTGTGATTGTTGTACAGTGGCGGCGCGTCTTCTCCATGCGCCGCTACTACTGGAGGCGCGTGGGCTCACGAGGAGTCGCGAAATCCAAGCAGTAGCGGAGATCCATAATGGCTTCCTCCCTTCTTCCTTTCCTCGCCAGCGGTGACCTGCAAACAAGAAACAGAAACGCAAGCAGTTGATTTTAATCCATTTCTGTCCTGATTGTTCTTGGATTTTTTTTCCTCTTCTTTTTTGTTCTGGATCTGCTTCTCTACAGATTTGTTCTTTTCTTTTTCCTTTTCCATTCTTCTCTGTTTCAGGTGCTGGCAAGACTAAAGAGGCCGCCAGCTGCTAGGATTTTGTCAGGTCTAGCCAGCAGAGATGGACATGGTGGTCCAGTCGGCGGGCTCAATTGGAGGAGACAAAGAGGTTGCTAGTTGCTGCTGTTTGGTGAGCTGGGTCTACTGGCCTATGGGTTGCTAGCGGTGTTGAGGCGAAGACACCATCATTGAAGAATACGGCGGGGGGGGGCACCG